CCGCTCTCACATCACCTCTCCCGACCTCGATCGGCACTCGGAATCTGTCGACGCCTTCGAGCAGGCTCGCGGGGCACTCGCGCATCGCTCCTGCCAATGGGTTTCTGCTCTCCCGGTCCCTCACCATCTTCGGCGCGCGGCTTCACGACGCGGGCCTCCCGCATCACACCCTAGCGCGTGCCACTCTGGGCATCCAAGCCCCCCACTGGCGCCTATCCGAAGCCTGGGATGCGACCTAGCAGTGGAAGGAAGCTCGCCGAGCCCCCCGCGCCCCGCCCTCCGCTGCCCGCGCCCTCCTTCGGGCGATGGTGGGCCTCGGTCTGCTCTGGGACTGGCCACGCATGGCAGCCTTCTTGCCGATGGGTTTCGCCATGTTTCTTCGCCCCGGCGAACTGCCAGTCGCCCGCCGTCGCGACCTCTCGCTGCGCGGCGATCGCGCGGAAGCCATCGGCGACGCCTTTTTCGCCATAAAGGCGCCGAAGTCCCACCGCACCTATCCGACGCAGCACGCTCGCTGCTCCGATGGGTCGTCGATGAGGCCCCTGGAACTGGCGCCCCAGCATCTGGGCCCCACCGATCCGCTTTCGCCCTTCGGGCAGAGCGGCGCCCGCACTCGGCGGAACAATTTCCCCGAGGCCATGGGCGCCCCACTGTCCAATGCGGCCTGCGGGCTGAACCTCACGCCTGGCTGTTCGCGAGGTTCTGGGGCGATAGACTTCCTCGCGGCCACGGAAGACTCTTTTCGCGTCTTCTGGCGCGGCCGCCGGCGCCAGGCCTCCAACGCTGAGCGCCATCTCCACGCCGCTGCATCGTCTGTTCTGCCCGCCCCTTCTGCCGCGGCTCGCTAGCGCGTCGCGCACTTCGCTGCCGCCAGCGACCGCCCCGCGCGTCTTCTCTTGCGCTCGGCCCCTCTGCGCAGCCAACGCAAGTCTTGGCCGCCCGCCAACGCCTCGCCACTGCGCAAGGACTCCGAGCTCGGGCACGGCCGCTGGCTCCGTTCAGCGCCCTCCAGACGACCCTCGCCTGAGCGGCGGCGCCCGGCCCGCTCGCGCCTGGGGAGGGCTGGCTTCGCGCCCCCCCCCCCCCGCTCGCGTCGGCCATGACCCGCACGCAACGACGCCTGCCTCGTTTGCGCGGAGTCGTGAGAATGCTCTTCGGGTTCCCCCTTCTCCACGCGCCCCGCGGGCGTCGCAGCTGTTTCACTTCTACCCCCCGCCCTCGTCTCCCTCTTCGCCGAGGCCTGCTGCTGGCGCTGTTCAGCGCCCTCCAGGCAACCCTCGCCCGAGCGGCGGGGCTAGGCCCGCGCGCGCCTGGAGGGGGTGGCCGCGCTTCTCGCGGGCCCCGCCCCCCCCCCCCGCGCGCGTCGGCCGCGCCCTTCGCGCAGCGACGCCCGCTCGTTCGCGCGGGGCCGGGAGAATCATCACCCCCTCAAGTGGGCCTAAAGTTAATCACGATGCCCCTCTAGACTTCTGCTGCGCAAAGCGCTCTGCAAAGCTGTGATCCCATTTACTGGGATAGAGCATCCAAATACAGCTGCAGAACAGATGAGCAATGCACCAAAGACAGACATGGAGAGATCGCAGGCGAATGCGCCAACATCTTTGAGGTTTCTTGGGCCGCTTCGGCGGGGTTTTGGCCCGTTTGGCGCCGTCGGAGGCCACCTCGGGAGCCTCTCCGGGCCGCCGCCCTTGGCGGTCGGAAACCCAAACAGGCGAGACCTTCACAGCCATTGGAATTATACGAGAATTGATGTCGTATCCTCGGAGACCTCTTCGGGCCTCCTAGAGGCTCCTTGGGCCATCTCAGGCGGCTCTTGGCCCCTCTGACGCCGTCGGAGGTTGTCTTGGACGCCTCTCTGGGCCATCTTGGGCGACCCAAACAGGCGAGAGTTTCAATGTCATTGAAAACCCCGCACTCTCTCACGTACATACACACATACACAAAAGCACAAAAGCCACGCACGCACGCGCGCACCCGCGCACGCACGCACGCACGCACGCACGCACGCACGCACGCACGCACACACACACACACACACACACACACACACACACACACACACACACACAACAACACACACACCAACACACACACACACCAACACACACATCACACACATCACACACACACAACACACACAACACACACACCACACACACCACACACAGCACACAGAACAACACACACAAACAAACAAACAAACAAACAAACAAACAAATAAACAACCTTACATCTACACACACCAACACCCAGACACACACACACACACACACACAGACACACACACACACACAACACAACACAACACAACACAACACAACACAACACAACACAACACAACACAACACAACACACACAACACAAACAACACACAACTCAACGCAACACAACGCAATACAACACAACACAACGCAACACAACACAACACAACACAACAGCCACACACACACATACACACACACACACATGATTTCGCCTTCTCGGAGGCACCTTGGGGGTCTCTTGGGGTTTTCTGGGCAGACCTAGCCGTATGACGTCTTCGGAGGCCGTCTTGGGGGCCTCTCTGGGCTATCTTGGTGCCTTCTTGGGCGCTTTAGGGCCGGTCTTGGGGTCCCTGTGGGGAGGCTCTTGGGCGATTTGGGAGTCCTCTTGGGCCAACTTGGGGCGTTCGTTGGGGGCCTCATGGGTGTCTTGGATCTATATTTGAAGCCTCTTGGGCCGTCTTGGGCCGTCGGAAGCTGAAACCAACGAGAATTTCAAAATCTGTCAAGAAATTGTTGTTCACAAATGTTTGCCGCCTTGGTTCTCCTGGGGGGCTTCTTGGAGTTTTTGTTCGGCCATCTTGGACGCCTTCTTGGCTGCCTTGGAGGCCTCTTGAGCTGCCTTGGGCCATCTTGGTGTCGTCTTGGGTATCCTGGAAGCCATCTTGGAAGCCATCCTGGCCGCCTGGAGGCCGAAAAGAGCGCTGGAGTGCGAACGGATGGGGCGAGGCGAATGTAGAAAACATGTTCTTAAAAGTTCCCAGCCACTGGAGGAGCATCACGGAAAGAGCGCCAGCGGAAGAAGATCTGCACAGGGTCCTAACTCCAACGGGGAGGGTTCCATCTTAGGTTTTTTTTTTATTTTCTTTTTTCATTTTTCTTTTTTTTTACTTTATGTTTTTTTTTTTTTTTTGTTTTTTTTATAACTCCAACGGGGAGGGTTCGGGGGGCGGGGGGGGGGCGGGGCGGGCCGAAATCTCTACCACGCCCCCCCGGGGGGTCGTGTTGGCAATTCTCTTCGGCCCAGGAGGCCTCAAGACGGCCGAACTGGCACCTGCACCTGAGACAGCCAAAAGATGCTCCCAAAACGGCCTCAGAGAGACACAGAAGGACCCGAAGACGGCCCAAGAGCGCTCCCACATGGCCTCGTCACGGCCCAAAAGGTCCCCGAGACGCCCCAAGAGGCCCCCAAGAGGACTCCTAAGAGGCCTGGAAGAGGCAAGAGACATAAGAGCCACAGGAGTCTCCCAACAGGGCCCCATGAGCGCCCCAAGCTGGCCGAAGCCCCCCAAGACGGTCCAAAGGGCCACGGGACGGCCCAAGAGGGCCCCAAAAACGGCCCACTGGACCCCCAGGAGGCCCCCAAGAGGCTCTCAAGATGCTTCCAAGAGCCTCTCAAGAGGCCCCCCAAGAGCGCACAGCAACGTTACGTAACATTGCAAGCCGGCCAAAGCACCCCAAGACGGTCCACGAGGGCCCCAGGACGCCCGGAGAAGGCCACGGCCCGCCCCCAAGAGGCCCCCAAGAGGCCTCAAGATGCCCCTCAGAGCATCTCAAGAGGCCCCCCAAGAGCTAACAGTGACGTAGGAAGCATTGGACGCCAATGCTCCCAAGAGCGAACGGTGACATGAAAAGCTCTGATCGTCGAGGCCCCCAAGAGCTCACAGCGACGTAAAATGCTTTCAACGCCAGGGCCCCCCAGAGCGATTTTGTGCGACCTTGGAGCCGCCCCGCCTCATGCTGGGTGGCTCCGATATCGCACACGGCACGGGAACGGAAAGAGCGTTCTGTTCCACCCTGGCACGGGAACGGACAGAGCGTTCTTTCCGTTCCCGTGCCGGCACGGGTTCCAACACGCCCATTCCGTGCAGGCACGGTGGCGGATACTCTGTGAGCGCCAAAGTGGGAAGCAAAGCTCGGGGGCCGGTGCCCTGGAGCCGCCAGCGGAGGTGCAGCGTGCGCACGTAATCGTTGGCTCATCGTCGGCATTGCGGTATTTGCACTCACGAGCCCCTCAGGTGGTACACGGAGATTTGAAGTGCTCCAACGTGTTCGTGGAGCGCACCTGCTGCCCGCGCAGTCTTCCCACGGCCAAGCTCCTGGACTTCGGCCTCTCCAGGGCGCTGACGATGAGGGCGAAACCGCTGGGGGGGACCCTTCGGTGGGTGGCCCCAGAGGTCCTCCGCGGGAGCAGCCCGGACACGGCGGCCGATATGTTCTCTTTCGGCTGCTTGATATCTTTCATCATCACGGGCAGGCTGCCGGGGAGCGAGGTGTGCCCTGCGCATCCGCAGACCGACTGGTCGGCGCGGGGCTGGCTCGCCCAGGCATGCGAGCCGCTCGTGGCGGAGTGCTGCGGCACCGACGCCTCTCGCCGGCCGCGCGCGCAGCAGGTGTCGGCCACGCGCAGAGGGGGGTAGGGGGAGGGGGGAAGGCTTCTTAGAAGCACCCTTGCTTCTTAGAAGGCGCGGTCCTTATGTATAGATGTGAGGCCGCCGCCTTCTAAGAAGCAGCCTCCTTCTAAGAAGCCTTCCCCCCTCCCTCCACCCCCTTCTGCGCGCCGCCAAAGGTGCACGAGCAGGCCAATGTCTGGCTGGAGGCGCTGCTGCAGCGCGGGGAGCAGTTGGCGGGCTCCCCCGCCGGCGCCGGCGGAGGGCACGCGCCCGGGCCGCCGGCCGACGCGGCGGCCCTTCGGGCGAGCCGCCTCTCCGATGTCGCCGGGAGGGCGGCGCAGGAGATGAGGCTGGTGGTCCCGTCGTGCCGCCGCACGCCCGCGGCCACGGTGGACGGCATGATGTGCGACCTCCTGCTGTGCTGCAACTTCGAGATCCCGGTCCAGGTGTGCTGTCCCTTCCACGCAGCGCTGGCCAAGCTCGCGCGCGCCATCGCCAAGCGCGTCGACGGCCCCTGCAAGCCTTGGAGCACAGGAGGCACTTCCTGCAGGCAGTGCGCTCGGTGCGGGCTGCTGTGTTGGAGTGAATCTCGCGATTTTGATGAGGGCGTTTCGTGCAACTTCTGTGGCTCAGTGAATTGGGAGCTCGATGCTGGCGGCAACAATTCTTTACCAAGTATCCCAGAGGCGAGTGCCAAGGACGAGATGGAGGCAACTCCGCAGCCGCAGGCCAGAGCCAACGACAGGGTGGAGACAACTCCTCGTTCGCAGGCCAGCGACGGGACAGCCTGCGGACTGGCCATCTAGAATTGGCGTGCGCTGATGCTGCTGGAGACCCTGGCAGCACGCCAAGCCGCCATCAGCGCCCCAGAACCTGACACCAGCACTGAGATCTTGTTCGAAGAATACATAAGATCCACTCGGTGTAAAATTGCGGGGAACGTAGGGGAATCCCAGCAGGAGAGATGAAGAGCCGTGCGCGGCGAAGAGCGGCAGCGAGCAAATCCTGCTTTTCAATCCGGTCAGAGTTTTGTCTGGTCTTCTCTCGTGCGCTCCGTAGCCCACGATGTGCGAAATCGTCGGGAGTAGTGCCCCCCCCCCCACTACCGCGCCGGGCGGGTAATAGTCGGAAGATTAGCCACCGCCACCGCATGGCACCCACAGGGACTGGCACAAATTACCGGCAAGAGGGCTCGGAAACAATTTGAACACAGGTGGAGTAAAGTCAAAAGCATGAAGGCACCCGTAAATTCGCAACGCTTCTTGTGGTGTCGTACCACGCGGAAGCAGAAACGGAAGGGCCTTGCGAGAAAGCAGGCGGAGGCGGAGGAGCGGCAGACGGATCTTGCTCCCAGCTCGTCTTGCAACGTGGCCTGAGTGTTCTAGCCCCTCACGTTTGGGAACACAGTCTGCGGGAGAGGCGGGGGCCGCCGCGTGCGCGGCGGCTCTAGCCCACCACGTGTGGAAAATCGCCGTGTGGGGAAGGCAGGAGCCCATCCCGCGCGCCCCTCCTGTGCACAGGACGGAAAAGTCGGTGGGGAGGCGGGAGGCGCCGCGCGTGCGGCGTGTGCGTGTGTGTGTAAGTGTAATTGTGTATGTGTGTAAGTATAAGTGCAAGTGTGTAAGTGTAAGTGCAAGTGCAAGTGTAAGTGTCTGTGAATGTGCGTAGTTCGTTATTTAATCAGTTTCCCGTGTGTGTGTGTTGTTTTGTGTGCATGTGTGTATCTATTTTTTCTTTTTTTTTGTTCACCGTGAACATGTGTTAGTTTGCGTGTGTTGTGTGTGTCGTGCGCGTGTCTGCGGTGTGCGTGTGCATGTGCGTGGCGTTTGTGTGCGTGTGTGCGTGAGTGTGTATGCGTGTGTGCGTGTGCCTGTGCGTGTGCGTGTGTGCGTTCCTGTGTCGTGCTTGCGAGTGTGTGTGTTGTGCGTGTGTTTGTGCGTGATGTGCGAGTGTGCGTTGATGTGCGCTGTGTGCGTGTGTGCGTGTGTGCTGTGTGCGTGGTTGTTGTGTGGCGTGTGTGCGTGGTGTGTGGTGGTGTGCGTCTGTATCCGTGTGCGGGGTGTGCGTTGTCTTAGTGTGTGGCGTGCCGTGCGTGCGTGCTGTGCGTGCGTGTGTGCGTGTGTTGCGTGTTTTTCTTCCGTGCGTAGTGTGCGTGTGTGTACGTGTGAGTGTGTCCGTGTGTCGTTATGCGCGTGCTTCTTTGTATTTGACATTTCTTCTCGTGACGTGCGTCTGCTGGTGCGTGTGTGGGTGTCTTTGATTGTGAGTAAGAAGTGTGTGTAAGTTGTGTGTGTGTCTTGTGTGTGTCTGTGTTGTCTGTGTGTTCTGTGTTCTGTGTGCGTCTGTCTGTCTGTCTGTATGTCTGTGTGCGTGTGTTGGTGTGTGGTATGTGAGCGTGGTGTGCGTGGGTGTGCGTGGGGGTGTGCGTGGGGGTGTGCGTTTCTGGGGTGTGTGCGTGGGGTGTGCGTGGGGGTGTGCGTGCGGGTGTGCGCGGGGGTGTGCGTGTGCGTGTGCGCGTGCGTGTGCGTGTGGGTGTGCGCGTGTGTGTGCGTGTGGGTGTGGGTGTGGGTGTGGGTGTGGGTGTGGGTGTGTGTGTGTGGGGGTGTGTGTCTGTGGGTGTGTGTCTGTGGGTGTGTGTGTATGTTGTTTTGTGTGTCTGTGTGTGTCTGTGTGTCTCTGTGTGTCTGTGTGTGTGTCTGTGTGTGTCTGTGTGTGTGTGTCTGTGTGTGTGCCTGTGTGTCTCTGTGCGTCTGTGTGTCTGCGTGTCTGTGTGTCTGTGTGTGTCTTTGCGTGCCTGTGTGTCTCTCTGTGTGTGTCTCTGTGTGTCTCTGTGTGTGTGCCTGTGTGTGGATGTACGTGGGGGTGTGCGCGGGGGTGTGCGTGTGCGCGTGCGTGTGCGTGTGCGTGTGCGTGTGCGTGTGCGCGTGGGTGTGCGTGTGGGTGTGGGTGTGGGTGTGGGTGCATGTGTGTGTGTGGGTGTGTGGGTGTGGGTGTGGGTGTGTTTTGTGGGTGTGTGTGTGTGGGTGTGTGGGTGTGTGGGTGTGGGTGCGTGGGTGTGTGTGTGTGTGTCTGTGGGTGTGTGTCTGTGGGTGTGTGGGTGTGTGCGTGTCTGTCCGTGTGTGTGTGACTGTGTGTGTGTCTGTGTGTGTGTCTGTCTGTCTGTGTGTGTGTCTGTGTGTGTCTGTGTGTGTGTCTGTGTGTGCCTGTGTGTGTCTGTGTGCGTCTGTGTGCCTGTGTGTGTCTCTGTGTGTCTGTGTGTCTGTGTGTGTGTCTGTGTGTGTGTCTGCGTGTGTGTGTCTGTGTGTGTCTCTGTGTGTCTATGTGTGTGTCTCTGTGTGGCTCTCTGTGTGTCTCTCTGTGTGTCGCTGTGTGTCTCTGTGTGTCTCTGTGTGTGGCTCCGTGTGTCGCTGTGTGTCTCTGTGTGTGTTCTGTGTGTCTCTGTGTAAGTGTGTAAGCGTGTAAGTGTGTAAGTGTGTAAGTGCGTAAGTGTGTAAGTGTAAGTGCAAGTGCAAGTGTAAGCGTAAGTGTGTCTGTGAATGTGTGTGTGAATGTGTGTGTGCATGTGTGTGAATGTGTGTGTCCGTGGGGGTGTGCGTGGGGGTGTGCGTGTGCGTGTGCGGGTGTGCGTGTGTGCGTGTATGCGTGTGTGCGTGCGTGCGTGTGCGTGTGCGTGGGCGTGTGCGTGTGTGCGTGCGTGCGTTATTACAGTTTTTTTTTTTGTAGTGGCGTCGTGAGCGTTTGTGCGTGCTTGCCGAGTCCGTGCGTGTTATGTGCGTGTGTGGTGTGTGTTGTGGTCGTTGTTGTGTGCATGTTCATGTGGCGTGTTGCGTAGTGTGCGGTGTGGTTGCATGTGTGTGCATGTGTGTGCGTGTGTGTGTGCGTGTCTGTGCGTGTGTGCGTCGTGTGCGCGTGTGCGTGGTGTGCGTTGTGTGCGTGTGTGCGTGTGTGCGTGTGTGCGTGCGTATGTGTGTGTGCGTGTGTGCGTGTGTGCGTGCGTGCGTGTGTCCGTGTGTCCGTGTGTGCGTGTGTGCGTGTGTGCGTGCGTGCGTGCGTGCGTGCGTGTGTGGGTGTCTGTGTGTAAGTGTGTGTAAGTGTGTGTAAGTGTGTGTAAGTGTGTGTAGGTGTGTGTGTGTGTCTGTGTGTCTGCGTGTCTGTGTGTGTCCGTGTGTCTGTGTGTCTGTGTGTGTGTCTGTCTGTCTGTCTGTCTGTGTGTGTATGTGTGCGTGGGTTTGCGTGGGTGTGCGTGGGGGTGTGCGTGGGGATGTGCGTGGATGTGTGCGCGGGGGTGTGCGTGGGGGTGTGCGGGGGGGTGTGCGTGGGGGTGTGCGCGGGGGTGTGCGTGTGCGTGTGCGTGTGCGTGTGCGTGTGCGTGTGGGTGTGCGCGTGTGTGTTCGTGTGGGTGTGGGTGTGGGTGTGGGTGTGGGTGTGTGTTGGTGTCTGGGTGTGGGTGTGGGTGTGGGTGTGTGTGTGTGTGGCTGTCTGGGTGTGGGTGTGTGGGTGTGTGGGGGGGTGTGTGTCTGTGGGTGTGTGTCTGTGGGTGTGTGTGTGTGTCTGTCGTTTTTTGTGTCTGTGTGTGTGTCTGTGTGTCTCTGTGTGTCTGTGTGTGTGTCTGTGTGTGTCTGTGTGTGTGTCTGTGTGTGTGCCTGTGTGTCTCTGTGCGTCTGTGTGTCTGCGTGTCTGTGTGTCTGTGTGTGTCTTTGCGTGCCTGTGTGGCTCTCTGTGTGTGTCTCTGTGTGTCTGTGTGTGTGTGTCTGTGTGTGTGTCTGTGTGTGTCTGTGCGTGTCTGTGTGTGTGTCTGTGTGTGTGTCTTTCTGTGTGTCTCTGAGTGTCTGTATGTGTCTTTGTGTGTCGTTGGTTGTCTCTGTGTGTCTCTGTCTGTCGCTGTGTGTCTCTGTGTGTCTCTGTGTATGTATCTGTGTGTCTCTGTGTGTCGCTGTGTGTCTCCGTGTGTCTCTGCGTGTCTTTGTGTGTCTCTGTGTGTTTCTGTGTGTCGCTGTGTGTCTCTGCGTGTGTCTGCTTGTGTCTGTGTGTCGTTGTGAGTCTCTGTGTGTCTGTGCGTGTCTCTGTGTGTCTCTGTCTGTCTCTGTGTGTCTCTGTGTGTCTGTGTGTGTCTCTGTGTGTCTCTGTGTGTCTCTGCGTGTCTTTGTGTGTCTCTGAGTGTTTCTATGTGTCTGTGTGTGTCTCTGTGTGTCTCTGTGTGCTTGAGTATGTTTCTGTGTGTCTGCGTGCGTCTCGGTGTGACTCTGTGTGTCTCTGTGTGCCTGCGTGTGTCTCTGTGCGTATGTGTGTGTCTGTGTGTGTCTGTGTGTGTCTCTGTGTGTGTCTCTGTGTGTTTCTCTGTGTGTCTGTGTGTGTCTCTGTGTGTCTCTGTGTGTCTGTGTGTGTTTCTGTGTGTCTGTTTGTGTCTCTGTGTGATTGTGTGTGTGTCTCTGCGTGTCTCTGTGTGTCTCTGTGTGTCTGTGCGTGTCTCTGTGTATCTCTGCGTGTCTCTGTGTGTCTCTGTGCGTCTCTGTGTGTCGGTGTGTGTGTGTGTCTCTGTGTGTCGGTCTGTGTCTCGGTGTGTCTCTGTGTGTCTCTGTGTGTCTGCGTGTGTCTATGTGTGTCTGCGTGTTTCTCTGTGTGTCGGTGTGTGTCTCTGTGTGTTTCTCTGTATGTCTGTGTGTGTCTCCGTGTGTCTCTGTGTGTCTGTGTGTGTTTCTGTGTGTCTGTGTGCGTCTCTGTGTGTCTGTGTGTGTGTCTCTGTGTGTCGGTGTGTGTGTGTGTCTGTGTGTCTCTGTGTGCCTGTGTGTCTCTGTGTCTCTGTGTGTCTCTGTGCGTCTCTGTGTGTCTGTCTGTCTGTGTGTCTGTGTGCCTGTGTGTGTGTGTCTATGTGCCTCTGTGTCTCTGTGTGTCTCTGAGTGTGTTTCTGTGTGTCTGTGTGCCTGTGTCTCTGTGTGTCCGTGTCTCTGTGTGTTTGTGTGTCTATGTGTCTCTGTGTCTATGTGTCTGTGTGTCTCTGTGTGTCTGTGT